GCATACGACTCTTTGCATCGCTTATAAGGAATGTTTGTTTCATGTGCTGCTACACCTTTCTCATGGACGCCTTCTCTCCTCCAGCCGTACGCGACCTTAGAATAATTCCTTAACCTCCCCTGGCCTCCCTGTCCTCACTGTGAAACAAGAACTATTATAATCCTCACCTCACTAACTGTTGGGAAGACTGAAGTACTTAGTACAGCGCCTGACAAACAGAAAGGCATTCAATACATGTCAGATGTTCCCAGTATCGCCATCAGCATCCCATTGCCTATTACTATTCACGTCCCGTAGAGCAAGAGCTAGTGTATTTCTTCGTCGACCACCACTGAACGTAAAGGGTCTTTGGACATAGGCGATACTCTATACGTGTTGGTTGAATTGTCCTGTGGTTCTTGACAGTGGAAATACAAGATACAGAGAGTAACTTGCCCTTGAAACCTACACAAAGGGTCTAGGAACTAAAGAAATCTCTTCAAAGGTGTCCTCAGAGTCGGGCAAGTTGGATCCAATAAATGTGTTACAGTGTGGATAAAATCAGCGCTTCCCAAAGGGCTTTCCTCCGAACACCAGGGCCTCCGGCATGCCACGCAGAGCTGCGTGGTCAGGCTACCTAAAACTCCTGCACGCTCGGCCTCATTCGTGCAGCGTCACAAGGCACATTTTCACATTAAAACCTCTGAGAGCTTTTCAGCGGGTGCTTCTTGACCTAAGCTCCCGGGCCCAGTTTGTCTGGGGAGAGACTCAGACTAGCTTTGTGACCACCGCCTGGCAACAGCCCCCACATCTCCTTCCTCTGTCCCCAGTGGGCTAGGTCAGGGATAAAGACACTTCCCTGATTTTAAGGGGCTTGTCACCACGCTGGGCTGAGTTCAGAGCTTCTCTGCATTGTAGGAAGGGGAGCCCTATTTGCCTAGAGGTGCCTTTCAGACTTCTCTGAGCCTCTGGGGAAAGGCAACTCCCTGAGAATCCCAGGCATGTAACAGGAACAACTGATCTATCCTTCCTCCCCCTTGGGACTACCTTGCTCTCAAAAAGGTGTCAGCTGCCATCTTCATATAGCAACTACCCTAGCTGCCTCAGCTAGACCCGCCTTTGCCCCCCCCCCCTCCAAAAAAAGAATTTGGAAGTCCAGCAAGTGGTGAAACACTTTATACTTTATCTTGTAGATTCACAAAGCACATTAGCATATTAAAGACTGTGAAGTTCCAGGGGGCACCTCTGTGGCTCAGTGGGTTAAACCTCTGACTTCAGCTCAGGTCATGATCTCATGCAGTATCACGAGTTCGAGCCCCTCATCAGGCTCTGTACTGACAGCTCAAAGCCTGGAGCCTGCTTTGGATTCTGTGCCTCCCTCTCTCACTGCCCCCCTCCCCTTCTCTCTCTCAAAAATAAAATAAACATGAAAAAAAAAACTTTTTTAAATAAAAGAGACTGTGAAGTTCCACAGGAAAGAAACCTATTTAACTTTAACCTAGCATTTCCAAATTTCACTTGACCGTGGGGCCCTTTTGCAAAACACCTATTAACGGATCAAGGACATGAATATTCCATGAAACACTCTAGATCTCTGGGGTCCCTTCCAGCTACATCATTCTATAATTTCCTTTTACTTGTGAGGCCTTAAAAGATTAATTTCTATCAGGCTCTTCCATTTACGAACTTATCAGAACGTGCAAAAGGGAACAGGTAAAATTGCCCAATTAAAAAAAAATACCCTTGAGTGATCTTGAGACTTAAAATGAATTATATATATTTATATATAATTTTATTTTATACGTTCTACTCTTCCATACACCCCACCCCCCACCTCAACCCCCTGCTAACAGGAAAGATTGGCACCCATATTTGGCCCGTGATGGTTACACATTCCTGTTTAGCCGGGGTTCACTTCTGTGTACACAGGGAGTGTGAAAAACATGCTCTGGACTCACTGACTCTAAGAGCAGAAAAAAATACAAAAACTACAGGAGAAGAGGCTGAAAAGCAGGTAGAAAACATCATGGGTGGACGTCCAAGGAAGCACCAGTTCCCTCGTGAATCTGCCCAAACAGCTTCTGGCCATGGGGAAAGTCAATTATAGATTTCTCCTGAAATGCACGACCTTCCACTAAGCTTTCTGTTCCCCAACAAATGAAATATCACAGACTAATTCCCACAGAACCTGCTTCTTCTCTACTGCCTTCACTAGAAGGCCACCAAGTGGGATGTCAAAGTGACAGAAAGGGACGTGTCTTTTTTACTCAGGTGTGTCTTATCTCTATCTTCTTACATCTCAAGCTTCAAAACTCAGTTTCCCACCTTCAACAAGGCGACAGCCTGTGTGGCCTTGCACAAGTTGCTTACCCTCTCTAAAGCTCAGTTTCTGCATCTGTAAAATGGACATAAGGCTACCTACCTCCCGCGGGTGATGATCATATTCAAAGAGCTTATGTGTGCAAATTGGTTAGCACGGTGCCTGGAACTTAAGAGCTTATTGGAATTATTAGGTGATTATTATTTCTATCACTAAAACAGTTATTGCTATCATAATAATTAGTAAAATAATATTATCATAACTACTATAATACTGATTCTTAATCTCGTTTCAGACAGTGCTGTCTCTGAAGGCAGGAACAGATGTCTAATTAACCTTTTCAGCACAACATCCAACATGACATCACATGCAAATTAGCGAACTAGTATTAAGGATGAAAGAATTTATTGGGGCGCCTGGGTGGCTCAGTCGGGTTAAGTGTCCGACTTTGGTTCAGGTCCTGATCTCACCGTTCGTGAGTTCCAGCCCCACCTCGGGCTCTGTGCTGACAGCTCGGAGCCTAGAGCCTGCTTTGGATTCTGTGTCTCCCTCTCTCTCTCTGCCCCTTCCCTCCCCTGCTCGCTCTCTCTCTCTCTCTCTATCTCCTTCAAAAATAACTAAACATTAAAAATTTTTAAAAACTCAGGGCGCCTGGGTGGCGCAGTCGGTTAAGCGTCCGACTTCAGCCAGGTCACGATCTCGCAGTCCGTGAGTTCAAGCCCCGCGTCGGGCTCTGGGCTGATGGCTCAGAGCCTGGAGCCTGTTTCCGATTCTGTGTCTCCCTCTCTCTCTGCCCCTCCCCCGTTCATGCTCTGTCTCTCTCTGTCCCAAAAATAAAATAAAAAACGTTGAAAAAATAAAATAAAATAAAAATTTTTAGAAACTAAAAAGAACTTATTTTTACTGACCCTTAAATGGTTTGTAACTACCTGTGTAAGCAGGGCGATCAGCCTAACGCATGCAAACTCCAGTTCCTCTGGAGTTTGTTTTTAAAGGTAGTCACAGGCCACCTAGGAATACTGAAGTGAGGTTATAAATCTGAGGCCAGCACAAGAAGTTGATGGAAAACTCACACAGGTGTGGTTTCCTGATTCGAGAGAGGTCTGGCCCCAACTCTGAAAAGCATTTAATGTTAATTGACCAACTTGTAAAAATTGTGGGTTTGGGAAGCAAAAGGTTTCATTTTAATTCAGTTCTATCTAAAACTAATAGGCCACTGATCTGCCAAAAATGAATATTCCATTTCCAGGGATCCCTCCCACAGTATCTAGAAGTATTAATCATATACGGTAACAGATAATCAACAAGTTTGTAAATAATCTTATTAACGTCGTGGGGCGCCTGGGTGGCTCAGTCAGTTAAGTGGCCGACTCCTGATTTCAGCTCAGGTCATGATCTCACAGCTCATGAGTTCCGACCCCACCTTGGGCTCTGCACTGACAGCATGGAGCCTGCTTGGGATTTTCTCTCTCAACCCCCCCCCCCCCCCCCTCATACTCTCTCTGTCTCTCAAAATAAATAAATAAACTTTAAAAAAAAAATCTTATCAAAGTCCTTTACTTTTTAAAAGGCAAAAAGTTTTCTAAAGCTATCTCTGTACTTTTTCAATGGTTGGATTTTGTTGTTAAGGCTTCAAAAAGAAACACAATTCAGGTCTTTATTATAAAGGAAATGTATGTTCCATATTTCACTAGAATTACATTCTAACGGTTATTTGCAGTCATAGCCTACATGGAATTTTTCTTGGGTGCTTTTTATGTTTTGGGTTATAGGAGGCCCCCTCCCCCACCACCAATGTATGGCCAATCTCTGAATAAATATTTAACATTCTTATGTAAAGTTTTTTTTTTTTAAGCTATTTTATCCATCTACATCATAGGGCTAAATATCAAGTAAGTCATGTAAGCCAGTAGTCCTGTCTTATGAATGGATTTTTTAGCCAGGTAGTCTGGGTGAATTTGCACAGCTAATAGTGAAATACTGTATCACAAGAGCCAAACTATGGAAACAACCCAAGTGTCCATCAATGGATGAATGGATAAAGAAGATGTGGCGCATATATATATATATATATATATATACACACACACACACATATATATAGGAATATTACTCAGCCATAGAAAGAGATCTTGCCATTTGGAACAGCATGGATGCATCTAGAGGCTATAATGCTAAGTGAACTAAGTCAGAGAAAGACGAATACCATATTAATTCTCCCATCTGTGGAAGAAAAAAAAAAAAAAGAAAAGAAAAACCAAACCAAAATCAGACTCTTAAACACGGAGAACAAACTGATGGTCACCAGAGGGGAGTTGAGTGAGGGATGGATGAAATAGATAAAGGGAATGAAAACAATGCTGAGTAATGTGCAGAATTGTTGAATCACGATATTGTACACCTAAAACTAATATAACACTATCTGTCAATTACACGTCAATTAAAAGAAACAGGGTGTCACGAGGACCAGTCCGTTTTGGGGTTGTGAGCAGATGCCATTCTCAGGCCCTTGTAGGCCAGCCCAGGCCCAGCTCAGGTTTCACTCCCCCGTGGGTCAGCAACCACTGACCCAACAATTCTATGTGCCGTGGCCACGGAGATCTGTTTTCTCCATGAGATTCTTCCGATCTTTTGTTCATTCCCTCACAGCACACCTACTGAGGGCACACTAATCTGAAAAGTAACTCAAGCAGAGAAATAGTGCACACAACAACTGCATTCTAACCTGGGGTTTTCTGGACGCGATGTTTTAACCCCCCAGAGAGGCCGAGGATCGGGGTCTCATGGATTAAAACAGGGCTGTCAGCTTCAAAGGGAAGTCCACGGGCACCGTCATTGTTTGGGCATTTTTTTCCTCTCTTGTTTCTGATGTTTCTTTGGAAGCCAGAAAATGGCCACTTCTCATTTCTCATGGAATTGATGTGTCCAGTTTTTAGCAGGAGCTGAAACGAACCAGAAGGTATTTACCCATCAGCAGTTGTCTGCGTGTATCTGAGACGCTGCTCCATGAGATGCTGACTTACGTGGGGACATCATTAGAGAGAGTCGCTCAGAGCTAAACAATAACCTCTTACCATTCACCCCACCAGGTATCCAACACAGGATGCTACGCACCTCCACTGCATCCAAACTTTTGACAGATGTTAACTATTGGGATTCAAGAATGAGGAAACGGAAGTTCTGAGAATCCTTGGGGATTCCAGAATTCTTGTTATTCCGTAAGTTTCGTAACACATTTCTTAGATGCTTTTGAAAAATAAGTAGCCATAATAATAAGCAGAGAATCTGTTATTTCCATAGCAGGATGTTTCTAGAACAGGATTATATGAAAGGCTTCTATGGTCTTCCTTTTTAAAAAACATATAATGACAAGTACATGCTTATTATTGCTATGAGCTAATACACTGTGGCAAGATTATAAAACCCAATAACATAAAAATGATCTCTACCTAATACAAGTGCAGGGTAATAGAAAACATTCAAAAGAAATGAACATTAATACAAAATAAATGTTGGGGCACCTGGGTGGCTCAGTCAGTTAAGCATCCGACTTCAGCTCAGGTCATGATCTCACAGTTCATGAGTTCGAGCTCTGTGTCAGGTTCTGCGCTGACAGCTCGGAGCCTGGAGCCTGCTTTGGATTCTGTGTCTCCCTCTCTCTCTGCCCCTCCCCCACTCACACTCTGTGTGTGTCTTTCTCTCTGTCTCAAAAGTAAACATTTTTTACAAAGCACACAAAATAAATGGTAAATAAAAATCATTAAAAAAATAGCAGGTCATACCAAAATAGTGCAATGTTACATTTCTTTAAATGAAAATTTTAGCCCCACAAAGCATCATCTGTTCTCTCCTATAGAATTCCAATAATATAATACTCGGATCTCCTGGCAAGGTTAAGAGTATGACAGAGAGGCAAATGTTAGAATGGGTGATTTGAGGACATATTTTGCTTCCAAAAGCTGACATTTCTTAGAATACCATACATGTAAAAAGTATTGTGACTAGGAGGGCCTGGGTGGCTCAGTCGGTTAAGCATCTGACTCTTGGTTTCTGCTCAGGTCACGATCTCACAGTTCATGAGATTGAGCCCCACACTGGGTTCCGCACTGACGGCATAGAGCCTGCTTGGGATTCTCTCTCTCCCTCTCTCTCTCTCTCTCTCTCTCAAAATAAATAAATAAGCTTTAAAAAAGTATTGTGCCTATAAACTTTTTAACGCTTCTTAGCAAGACTGACTCGTATCAACAGGGCCCTGAACGCCCACTTACAGCAGCAAATACAAAAAGCCCCATGGCTCCCGTCCTGGGTCCCAGAAATGTCAACCTGGACCCTCGACTCCACGCGTCAACGCATCGTCCTGCTCTTGCTTTCGACTTGAGTCGGTGGATTTCTTCAAACCAGTAAGGTCTCTACACGGAGACTGAGCTTTAATTCTCACGGGAGAATCATAACGCTTCTCCCAATTTTCCTGATTTCTCAGCTGATTTTTCTCAGAATCCAGAATTTGGGAGTCCATATACATGTCCCAAGAAACGCCAGATGGGAATCCCCATGTGGGAACCCTTTCCCTTTGTTCCTTTCAGAAACAATGATCAACACACACAGAGCTCTCCTCCTCATCTCCACATTTCCCCTGCTCGCTGACGGTTCAGGGGCCCAGCTCAAAATTTCCCCTCCTCTGGGAATAGCCCCAGGACTGTGAAATGGGCTCTCAGTGGTTACGAACTTACTACAGAATTCTGCATTCCTGGCCCAGGAAAGGATGTCTGGCCCAGCTGGATTCTCTGTCTCTGGAATTTGAATATTGGAATCCAGACATAGAGAGACTGGGAGTCACTGTGGCTTGGCCATGTTGATAACATGCAAGGGTGGGATTACACTCATAGCTACCTGTCCTTCGTGTCCCAGGAGCTGGCCTAAACCTCCCCTTTTCTAGTTGCAGGATAGATACTTAAGATGCATCAACATCCTTCATTAAACCCTCCCATGGGGGGCGCCTGGGTGGCGCAGTCGGTTAAGCGTCCGACTTCAGCCAGGTCACGATCTCGTGGTCCGTGAGTTCGAGCCCCGCGTCGGGCTCTGGGCTGGTGGCTCGGAGCCTGGAGCCTGTTTCCGATTCTGTGTCTCCCTCTCTCTCTGCCCCTCCCCCGTTCATGCTCTGTCTCTCTCTGTCCCCCAAAAAATAAACGTTGAAAACAAACAAAAAAAAAAATCAAAAAAAAAAAATCCTCCCATGGATGGGGTGCCTGGGTGGCTCAGTCGGTTGGGCATCCGACTTCGGCTCAGGTCATGACCTCGCAGTCCGTGAGTTTGAGCCCCGCATCAGGCTCTGTGCTCAGAGCCTGCAGCCTGTTTCAGATTCTGTGTCTCCCTCTCTCTCTGCCCCTCCCCCGTTCATGCTCTGTCTCTCTCTGTCTCAAAAATAAATAAACGTAAAAAAAAATTTTTTTTTTTAATAAAAGTAAAAAAATAAATCCTCCCATGGTTTAAGCAAGCCAGAACTAGTTTCTCTTGTTTTGAATCAAAAGACCCCTAGCTAATATATTATTATGCCCCGGTCCAGTTCCTTTCATTTTCCAGGAACAGGAGGAAAAATGCCTTACTGGCTTAAAAAAGAAAGAGACAACACAGGATGCCATTTATGTAGATTTCGAAACACAAAGGAGTAGTCTGTACAGTTTATAACATGCACCTAGGTAGTACATGCACAGACCCTGAACAGCATGTGCATCTACATCAAGATCATGGCTGCCGTGGGGGGCAGGGAAACGTGGGCCAAGAGGAGGCACAGGTGGGGACTTGAGCAGCTATGGAAAAGCTTGATTTCCAAGGGACAGTCAAGACCCAGTTTGCCGGAGGCCATTGAGTTTACATTTGTCTACCCCGGTCTGATCTTCAATTCTCTCTCACAACAACCCCAGTGTGGATGCGAAGTTCCATGGCCACCCCTCAAGAACATTTTTTTTTTTTGATGTTTATTTATTTTTGAGACAGAGATCTCGTGGGCGGGGTTGGAACAGAGAGAGAGGGAGACACAGAAACCGAAGCAGGCTCCAGGCTCAGAGCTGTCAGCACAGTGCCCGACGCGGGGCTCGAACTCACGAACCGCGAGATCATGACCTGAGCCGAAGTTGGACGCTCAACCGGCTGAGCCACCCAGGTGCCCCCCACTTGAGAACATTTTAAATAATTATAGAAGAAGACTTCTACTTTCCCTTTTGTTTGAAGTACTGTATAACAAAAACACTTTTAAAGTTACTCCCATATACATAAGATTGCTACCAAACCATGAATCCCTCAAGAGTATCTTCCTCACCCAGTACTCCTCGAGGATTAAGTCATTAAATTCTAGGAAGCCCTCATCAGCGGCTTACACTAAGTAAGAGAGCCACCAGCAAGGTGCCATTTTTCTTTATTTTAAGCAAATTCCTGGTAACTTATTTAGGGATGTTTTAATATTTTGCACATTCACGTGGTTCAAAATGCCGAAAGTCAAGAAAGGTATACGATGAGGAGTTTTCCATCTCTGCCCCGGCTTATACTCCCTAGAGGCAAACAACTGTTTCCAGATTTTTTAATATCCCTAAAAATATGCTATATGCATGAGAACAAAGACATTGTGTGTGTGTTGCCCCGTTTGAAGCTCACAGAAACTCCTTCAAAGCCTCTTGGAAAAGATACCATTATCACTCGTATTTCACAGGATGAAATTGAGGTTTGGAGAGAGACTCCGTGGCTTGCTCAAGGTCACACAGCTAGTAAACAGCGAAACTCGGATTCAATTCTAACCCCGACGTGTACTGTCCCAAATACTGGGAAAAGTGGAAGAGGAATTAATCTACTAAATTGAGGGCATATTTGAGGATCTGAAGCAGCAGGCATTCCCACCTCAGGCTCGCTTGGAAAGTTAAGTTGCCCAAGACTGTCTCCACTTGTCATACGAAATTCCAGCATTTCAGACTTTTACTTAGGATCTCAGCATGGTCTGCTCTCATCCTAGAGCAGGCACCGCCGGGCAGTTAATTCTCCCACGTGGGAATCTAAAGGGTTCGAGTTAACCGGGATCACCCGTGTTAACACCTGCCAGCCTGCACCCTGAGTCCCGGGCCGTCCTGCCTCACCCCCACCCCCCCACCCCCCACCGCCCGTGCGTCAAGCCCTCGATATGGCAAAGCCTTTAACGCAGCCACATCCAAGAAAGTCCCTGGTATCCGTAGGCAAGAAAAGCCATACGTGAACTCAGAAACAATGAGCCAAATTGTGTTTTTTGTCTAAAAAGGCTGTTAAGAGCTTCATTCAGGTTATATCAGAGCCAATCCACGGAACCAACAGGAAGCGGGTCCCAACAGAAATTACAAACGGAGGGAAAAAAGAAGCCAGGCCTTAGGGTGGAGAGCGCGGGTGATTGTGTCAATATGGCCTAAAATATTTGCTTCTGAGATAAATATTTGCCTGATAATTTGGGTGCTGTTTGTACAACCAGGAAAAGCAGTCAGCAGTTAGAAAAGAAAAAAAATATATCTATATATATATATATATTGCTGTGTGAGTCTCAGCACTGAGTTATCTGTAATTGGGAGGGAAGGCAACATTTTCAGGCAGAGTGAAGGCCTTTGTCTTGGCTGCTTATTGTAAAACCAACAGCTTCCAAGTAAAAAGTGCTGAAGTCCACGGCTAAACCATCTTTCCCATGGAGGGATTTGGCTGCACAAAGCCCACCATTGACAACCCTTTCTGCTAAAAGCCTGCCTCCCTGATGAAGAGTGTCCGGAAACAAAAGGCACAGAACGAACGAGGAGGCTTTTCCTGCTAAAAAAAAAAAAAAAAAAAATCCAGGTATGGATTTTATGATCCAGGTATGTTATGCAGGGGATGCTGGTCCACACTCGTCATCCATCCTGATACTCAGGCCACAGAACCTTGACGGATGGCTGTGGAGGAA